CGAACGCATGGATGCATTTTTTATGTCTGTCCGGTAATAAATACGGCTCCTGTCGCAGTTTACAAAATGTGTACCTTCTCGATTTTTTGAGAAATGTGTCGGCAGATTTGTATTGGAGCCTATGGGGCTTTTGGCAGAGGTTGTGTCACTCTAACACTCAGGAATCCAAAACTAAAGAAGTCTGGAAATCCATGAACACATTAATCCAATCAGCACATCCATACCATCATTAATCCAAAGAAATTAAGCCTCAAAAGTGTATACTTTGGCTCTGAGGACAGAAGTTCCATATTTATTTAACCAGATTCTGACGCTGCACCACACTCTAGCATTTCCAGGTCTCACTCTAAGAAACGCAACGGAGCGAAGAACTAGTGAAACATAATCAGTGATTATGAAAAACGTAGAATTGATATCAACAAGCAGTTTTTTTTGTAAAATAGTTCAGTCGTTATTTGAAAGTTTAAATGGTGTCTGTAGCTGAAAGATTGGCAGACCTGAAAAATCTGAAAGTTGAAGAAGTTTAAGAGGATTTGAAAACAATCTCCATTGGAAAACCATGTTAAAATATTAATGATTATTGATTTATATAACTTCAAGCATAAGAGGTAGAAAGCTGAAAAGCTATAGCCCTAAAGCCAGAAAGGAGCTGAACATTTTAATATTTGAACGGTTTTAATAGTTGAAAGTGTGAAGGAGTTGAAAGGAATAGAATAAGTTGAAATAAAGAATAGAAGAACAATACTTGGAATGCATTCCAACAATAAAAAAAAAGATGTTGGAATAAAGATTCGAAGAACAATACTTGGAATGCTTAATGCATTCCAACAATAAAGGATTATTTTTTTGTAAAAACATCGCTTCCATCGCTAGGCGTCGCTGTGGGTTAATTTGCACTTTGTTTCGCAGAAGCCAAATCTCGCACAAAACCGCGTGGTTTACGAATCCCGTTCCTCTTTCAACCAGCCTCCAAGATGGTAGGTGCCGTCATGTATCCGTCTGCTCTGAAATGCATCTAAATCTATGCCCATCCTTGTTGACTGTGGCAGTTTATCATTTATCCGGCACCTTCGGTTAATTACTGGGTTGTTTTTCCCGTGACGTATTGACATTATGGGATATTGTGAGCAAATAACCATTTATCTGGGCTCTCGTCGGCCTGCATCACCCGGCCAGCATATTCGCTCTATAATTACACGTCGTACCCGCGTACTCAAAACTGCTGTACTCTGAAAAAAATGTTACAGCTTTAGTCAGGGTTTAACATGCAGAAAGTGCCCGAGAGAACATTGTAAATCGTATGCAGATGTAGTGGTAGTTTACAGTCGGCCGGTAAATGCCGTTAGCATTAGCGTTTTGTGACTATAGGCAGCATGTAAGCTGTTGGCTTACGAAGGGACCATGGTTTTGATAATTTCCGTATTAAGTAATCAACGTAGCAGTATGCCAATGCCTGCTTCAGTGTGTTATTGGCTGTTACCGGTTTAAAGTTGACAACAAAGGCTGAAGTAAAATGAAAGTAACGTAAGACGTGATTAGCCTCCGTTTAACGTGCTAGCTAACTTTGCCCCACGAGCAACGATCGAAGCACGATTGTTGACGCTCTGTACCTCTTCTAATCGATACCAAATATTTCCCTTACAGCCCACCAAGAAGACCAAGACTAGGAAGCTCCGAGGGCACGTCAGCCACGGACATGGTCGCATTGGTAAGTGATTACATGTCCTGTATTTTAAAGGTGATCTCCATAGCTTCCGTTTGTCTCACTGTGGGTGCGACACATGGTTTAACTCCAATTTATCCAACTTCCACAGGCAAGCACAGAAAGCATCCTGGAGGTCGTGGTAATGCTGGTGGTATGCATCACCACAGAATCAACTTCGACAAATAGTAAGTGCTGCATGAACTGATGTTCTGCTTATTGTGATTGAGACACTTATCTGTGTGCATAATGAGCCCGTAGATTGCTGGACTGTAGATACTTTAACCAGAAAACTATCCGTAAGACAGAAAAAGGTTCGCCTGACAGGTTTCTGATGCGTTACACAGTGATGTTAATTTTCAGTTTTCCTTTTGCCTCATGTTGCGTATCTGTTCAGTAGTTTTGCTATAGAGACTAGAGTCTCACCTTGACATAACTCATTGACTTGGTTTGTTAGAGCAGTGGTACCCAACCACCGGACCGGTACCGGTCCGTGGGTCATTTGGTACCGGGCCGCACCACAGAAAGCTTATATATATTTTTTTATATATAAATGCTTTATTTTGAAAATTGACCGGATTTTCTCCTGATATTTTCTATTTCTATTCTATTATTAACAAAGACCGCGCCAACACTACCCCCCCCCCCCCCTGTCGGTTGGGGACCACTGTTCTAGAGTACTCTTAGATTGAAGAGTGCTCCTATTCACCGACTGGCCCTTTTTCGTAGGGCAGTCACCCACATGGTCAGTTACAAACTGCTTGATATCACTGACTCTGCAATCGCTTAAAATAAAGTAGTTAATGTAAGTGTGAAAAAGTAATGGTGGTGACGTTTTGCATTCATAACAAGAGCTAAACAGGCATCTTGCCACCACTGCTAAGTCAAGTCTTAACCTTTCCCAACACGGCATTAAGCTCATGTCCTGGAGTTCATGTTTATTTCACTCTGGATAGTCATTTAACCTTTTTTGTCTTTTCTTCCTTGTGACTTTTCAGCCATCCTGGGTACTTCGGCAAGGTGGGTATGAGACATTACCATCTGAAGAGGAGCGCCACCCACTGCCCCACCATCAACCTGGACAAGCTGTGGACACTGGTGTCCGAGCAGACCAGGATCAACCACAGCAAAAAGCCCGACGGACCTGCACCCATCATCGATGCTGTGCACGCCGTAAGTACTGAATGAAGGCTGGCGCACGCTTCTGCGTCGTTGCATCGATGCACGATTCAATTCATGGTTCTAAAAGTCCTGCGTGCGTTGCAGAGCGATTCACCTCCAGAACAACAGGCGGAGTGACGTGTTTTGTTGAAGACGACCTAGAGAGTCACGTCTATTTATTTATTTGTTTATTTATGTATCATAGACTTTATTGCCCCGTGCATCGACACTGCTGCTCTTCATCGCGGACACATTACTCCCGTATTTTCCTCCACAACTTTGTGCACCTCTCGACCGGCAAACCAGCGTTTGCGGCGATCTCCCTCCATGAATCCAACCCGCTTCTACAACGTGCAAATAACGGCTTGTATAAGCGGTCATATTTACGCATTTCTTCCTACAAAAGTTCTTAAATCTGCTCCGTTCTCTCGTAAACATTCTTTGTTTTAATAATGGTGCTATCGGGCTATGAAAGCGGAAATGTGAGACTCCGTAAAGGACGTAATCAGCAGACCTATCACAGCCCTGGTAGAAAACGCAGAAGCATAAACTAGGCTTAATACCGTAGCAGTAGTTTTATCTCCAGCCCTCATCTCTAAGCAGAGGGAGTTGGGGCCCGTTTCAGTGTCCTCAACGTCAAATCCATAAGCTAATGTACTAACAGTAGCCAATGTATTAGCTTAAATGTTGTTGCTTTTTAAGTCAAAGTATCTGCATACAAAGTTGTATCTTGTGACATAAACGGGTGTAGGAAAAAACAGGACGTGGGTCTTAGTGGCAGGTCGCCCACTTTTTGTCGACCCATCGGTGTGCTTAAAAAACACTTCCTTAAATTCCTCAATTAAGCTTGAGTGTTTCAAATTGAAAATGGGGTCTTTGATGTATTAGAGACATGCTTGAAAGATATCATTTGTTTAAAACTAAGCTTGAGAGTTGCAAAATTGAAATACAAATTCAGAGTGAAATGTAAAATCAGCGGTCAGCCCCCACATATTGACGTTGGATCTGTGGGAAACACTGAACATCATATATCTAGTACCTCCCTCTGTATTGGATAAACTGTTCTCATCTGAGATGTACAGTCTATTATCAAAGGTAGCTTTTTTGTCAGAACTCTTATAATTTGAAACACAAAGGAAAGACTGACAAAGTAAATGTAAGTTTGTGTCCGTACTTAAATGTGTTGCCAGTTAGAATACAAGGAATAATAACAGTCCAAACTTGGCAGTGAAAATACCAATAGTAGATGAGGTAATATCTCGCCTACTACTTTGTATATAGTGTCTTGCATATGTTCATTCAGTGGCATTGATATGCCGCTGTAAATCGTGTGGGATAATAGTGGCGTATGTCTTTGTTAAGACCACCGATACGGATAGATGTGCAATCCCATTTAGGGAAATGGATAGAGAAAACGTGTCCGGTAAAAGTTCACCTATGGTTATTGGGTTGCACTGATTGTTTATTTTGTTATTTGCAGGGCTACTACAAGGTCCTGGGCAAAGGCAAGCTTCCCAAACAGCCTGTGATCGTCAAGGCAAAGTTCTTCAGCAGACGGGCTGAGGAGAAGATCAAGGCAGTGGGAGGAGCCTGTGTGCTGATGGCATAATGTTCCTGTCAGTGTGTTTTGGAGAAAATAAACTGTAAAAGGAACTACATAATTGTCATGTCTAATGTAAATACTTTGTTCTGCGATTGAAGCTTGGGCTTTAAAAAAAAGCCCAAAAACTACTAGTAAATGTGTTATTGACCATATTTTGTAATTGCCATGTGGTCCAAATGTATTACTTATCGTGCAGTGCTAGACTGAACCTGCTGTGGTTGACAGTAAAGCCTTATAACTCAATGTATAAAATTAAGCCAGAGAGCAAAATCTAATGCTTCACCTCTGGAGCATGACATATTTCAGGCTCGGAGTCCTTTTTCAGCTAAAGAATTTCTTGTGTGACGCATGCAATCCTAAATCGGAGGAAATCTATCAAGACCGTCAACAAAACACACAGACGCATTTCTTCCGACAAAAGCTCTTCAATCTGACGGACTGAAATTGAATTATCCGTTTCATGTAAACCCCTTTGTCCGACTATGTGCGGTCTGACTACAATCCGATTAACACCCCTGGATAACTCGATCCGATCTAGTTGATAGTTCGACTATTGCGGCATGTAACGGTGAATCGGATAAGGAACTGGACTTTGCGTCTTTGCGCATGCTTGAGATCCCGCCGCCCTCCTCCTTCCCAGGTCGTGACCCGAAAGTCGAAAGAGACTGCTGGGAGACTGGCCGGCAGAAAACAAACAATGCTATGGACAACACAAGAGTCCCTAGTAGAGCACAACGGCGTAGATTCGGGTGTTCAGTTGCCAACTACCATGGGTAAGTTAATTTCAGTTGCATCATACTAAAACAAGTGCTAGATACCAGATGCTAGCTGATGCTGTTTGTGAGATGTGTTAACTGCTAATATGTGTTGAAACATGTGTACCTTCCCATAACTTGCGAGGAATTAAATCAACGATGAAAACAATTAGGCCGCAATGTGAACACTGTTTTCGTTTCAACCCGCTCCACAGTCGCGCATCTACACAATCTTTAGCTCATAAAAAAGAACGAGTCGTACTTAGCTACCAAAAAAAAGTTCGTCGCTCACTTTCCAGTCAATCTTTGGTGCGTCTATGTTTTATGCCGAACTAGTTTCTTCAGAGTGTAATAGGATCTTGGTCGCGAGTGCTGGCACTTTTCGACACGTGATCGTTCTACACCAATGAGGTAGCTGCTTTTGTCAACAGAATGGCAAGATGGCGGCCACCATGCCTTCATCCAGCAGTACGGAAGACGAAGAAAATACACCGGAATGTCTTAATAAATCAAAAAGCAAACATTTTTTTATGCATATTACTTCAGTCAAGCACAAGGAGGTACATTATTTCACCACTACACGATGGAATACATACAGGACAAGCCTACAAACGTGGCTCGGGTTGGAGGGTGAGTCTCGAGACATGGCTGAGAACTTGGTTGATGTGAAGTTTGAAAATATTCCCGAGGGTGCTGGACATTTACGGACAAAAAATCCATCGCAAAGGTGGAACGACGTCTCGCACGTGAGAGACAAGAAGCGACTGAAGACCACGAGGCCATTCCATCGACTTCTAGGGCCACGAGTCCAACAAAGAAACTGCGATCCAGGTAAGGGCTGCCAATCGCAGGCTCTGGCCCCGTTCTTCCTGCCCTGTGCATAATTTGCCAAAAAAGGAGATCATCAACCGAGCAGGCAAACGACAAAGGGATCATCTGTCAAAGGCTGAAACATTAACAGCAGGTAAACACACACACTGTGGTTGAGTGACTAAAAGGTACAATTATGTGTGAGAACTCATTGAGCTATCCTTTTTGTTTTGTTAAGGCCAATTGCAGAAAGCTGCAGAGTTGAAGGATGACCAAAATATTCTTTTGCATATAAAAGACAAAGACTGTGGCTCTGGAGGTGCAGTACCACAAAGGCTGTTATAATCAGGTTTTTGACGGGGCCTGAAAAACCAGAGAAAGAACAGTAAGTTATTTATTATATTGCATTTCAAGGAGCTACTAACTTAACATTATATAAGTAAACATTCAATCTGCTTTCTGTTGTATGTGCACACAATCACAACACTTATTCATTTCTTTCCTTCTCATTCATATGTGTTCTAGGAATGAGCCCACATTTGATGTCAGCTATAAGATATTCTGTGAGAGGATCATTCGCCAAAGGCTGATTGTCAACCAAGAGGTGCTGAGAATGGTCCAGCTGAGGAAGGCCTTCATTGAACTGGTGAAAGCAAATGAAGGTCTTCAAACTACAGGTAACTGCAATGCATTTTTCTCATGATACTCCTGTGACTCCTAATTGTCACTGTTTTGTTATGTTGCAGTCAGGATATGTTGAAAAAGAGGCTGACTCGTGATTTCCCCCAGCTGGTGTTTCACATGACCTTGGTGCGCAACATCTCCGAGCTGGTTTTTACAGAGACCCTGTCAACCCGTACACTCGTGGACATGCTACCTTACCCATCAGGTGCGGAAACCACACAGTCTGAGTTGAGCCAGACAGACAGCGAGACTGAAAAAGGGACAACACCACCAGCACCAAACAACACAAGAGGACGCAAGGAGACTATATACAGCAGCGTTGTTCTTAAAAAGACATCTTAGTAACACTCCTGGCATGTCATGCCCATGGCCTCCAACCTCTGAAAATTTGAATGTCACTGAAGCACAAACTGTTGTTCCCCTTGCGCTATACAATCTAGTAAACTGGATTATAGGTGCCTCTGAGGAGCCAACACTGGATAATTTTGTAGATATTTTGTAGAATTTTGCCAATATGTGACAATACAATACTGCCTTTAAAAGTACTAGTGTTGGTAGTTATTATTTTAGTAATAAAAAGCCAATAAGTGATACAACGGCTTCCCATTTTAGTGAAGCTAAGCGAATATGGACTAAGATCACTTACCGCCCTGGTTACAATCTCTACTTCGAGAGCTAATCAATGGGTATGTGATTATATGAACAAACAATAACACTGGGTGCCATCAAGACAAAAATTGAATGTCGGTATATAATAGGAGTTACCAGTATTTTCATTTAAATTAATGTTGACTACAATTGTTGACAAAAGAATTTGCCTGAGCTTGATTGTGTGCATGACTGTTTTTAGATATCCAGTGCACAAAAGCTGCTGGATTAAAGTATTAACCTTATTCTATATTGTTTCATAATCAGGCAACAGACAGTACCTTCATGATGGATGTTAGGTAAAATGAAAAATGACATTCTTTAAATTATATTTATTTCCTTTTGACTATATCTGTTGTGCTTGTGAAGAAGCGACCACGCAAACGCAAGGGAACGTAAAGTGTTTTAATGAACACAAACACACAAACAGAAGAATACGGGCGTTTGGCCAGCAATGGTGAAGCCCAGTGAGCAGAGAACGAGGTCCAGGCCGAGAGAGAGCGCACCAGACAGCAGGCAGCTCACGTCAAACTGGAGGCTGGGTAAAGCAGAGGTTAGCAACGGGACAATAATAGTTCAGCACGAACCGTCAGGACACAACAAGGAAGGCGATACAGGACAGCGAGCTCAGGTACGTCGGGTGCACAGGTAAGGCTCTGGCGGAGAACAAGTGGAAGAGGGTGGCTAGAAATAGGGTCTAATTAGAGGAAGCAGGAAGAAAGGATGATGAGATGAGAGAATGAGAAGCAGCTGGGAATGAATGAGCAGGTGTAATTAAGTGTGTGTGTGTGTGTGTGTGTGTGTGTGTGTGTGTGTGAAGGGGGGGTGCGAGTGTGTGTAAATTACATGAAAGGGGTGGAAAAGAAAAAGAGGAAGGTACCCGGTTTATGACAATATCATGCTATAAACAGTTTTTTATTGTTTACTAGGGAGACAAACATGTATTTCTTAAAAAGTATTTTATTAAAGAATCACTAGATTCATCTATATGGTGTTTTTTCACGTCCATTGTTTTTACTGTGCATGAATGCAATGCATAAATCAAGTTCTGTTCTTTTGTGAATGCGCTGAATGATAACTGCCATCAAGTGTTGCGTTTTAGCAGATAAGTCCGTAAAAAATTAAGTTTTGTTTTAAGCCTAGTACTCTTGACAAAAATATATAATATTACTAGTGGGTGAAATAAAATAATCTCTGCTTTGTTTTTTAATGCAGAAATAAATGTGCTCAAAATCATCTCTGTAAGTGTGGCTTGGTTTTGTACTGCAACGATTTGAACATTTCTCACCACTGCTTTCTGTCACTTCCTGACGTGTCTTCAGCACTGAGAAAAAAATTAGGTCTTTGAATGAACTGTAATATAACTATATTATATAACTATAATATATATATAACTATAATATATATATAAATAGCTTTCAGCACTTTTCAAAAGTTTCAACGTCACAATGCATCAATATTTACAATTTGCATTCATTCGGGGCGCTGCCGGAAAGTGGTCATCATAACCAAGGCAACGAGTGGTCTTAGCCCATATTAGCTTAGCTGAACTTAAACGGGAAGCTATTGCATCACTTATCGGCGTTTTATGACTAAACCAATTACAACAACAACACTCGTACTCTTAAGGACAGAGTACAGGATAGTATTGTCATATTTTGTCAAAATATGAAAAGAAAACTGCAACAGTCGAGGCATCATTGCCGCAAAGTCGAGGCAGCTGTCGTGAAGTTGTGGCCACTGCCACGACTCGCCACGGCAACTCGACCCGCAGATAACAGTCGTACTCAAACTGTATTATACTGTCACGTGTTGCATACATATGAATACTAAAATTAACGGAAACTGCCGTGGCACCTCTCCCTTAAACTCCCGGTACGTCTATCAGCCGAGGCATAGCTCCCTTAACAGCCGTGGGCACCCCTCCCTGCCCTCTCAGGCAAGGGCCACAGAACTTGGGTCAACAAGTACAGGGGTGCAGGCAGCAACATGCAGAATGGACACCCACTTTGCTGCACAAGCTGAATTGGCGTATGTCTTTGTTAAGACCACCGATACGGATAGATGTGCAATCCCAAGCTGGACAGGTTTCCATACACTGCTTCAAAGTGAAAATACTCTGCAGAAGTCAGCATTGTATTATCTTCCAGTAATTGAGGCATCACCAACAGAGATGTCAACAGTGAACACTATCCTGAAGCGAAGTGTCCAGATGGCTGATCAGCTAGAACTGGATCATAGAGTTTTAGTGTTTGACCAGGCTAACAGGCTGACACATGCATGTCCTACCTGAGTATTTTAGGCAAAAGGTTTGGAGATGCAGGACTGCAAGACATCCTCATTGAATCAGAAGTTGTTGCCCCAGGATCCATCAATGGGGTAATAAATGGTCATCCTTACAATCGCAGCATGAGGGCTCATAAACTTCTCTATGAGAGTCTGCAGCGCATCAGGTTCATCAGCTTCTTGGACCCTCTCTTGCCACCACAAGAGAGAGCTGTGTGCATGGATGTCATCACTGACATGAAATGTGTCTTTCCAGACGGATTGATGGATGTTTTGAGTGCAGATGAGAGGTTTGATGGTATGAGTTCCAAATATGCTGACTTTGTGCAGAGGAAAAGTACAGAGAATGCAACATTTGCTTTCTGGAGCTCATACATTGACATGATGCAGCTACTCCTCCTGTTTGTGAGAGCAACGCGAGAGTCAAACTGGCAACTTCACCTGTCAACAGTCCGATTAATGCTGCCATGTTTTTTTGCCTACAATCAAGTAAACTATGCTCGATATTTACCTGCGTACTGGCTGGAAATGGTGAATTTGCCCATCACACATCCCTCTTGCAACAGTGAGATGAATGTGAAAGGCCAGTGGACTGTCCAGCAACAAAGTGTTCATGGATTTGCCTCCATTGCGAGCAAACCCTTAACAGAGATGCCAAGACAAAAGGTGGTTGGACAGGGATCACACAAAATCGGTCTGCTGTGTATTGTACTGTCACAGCATGAAAGAGCGGCTATAGCAAGACAGTGTGAATCAATGGCAGGGATGTCACCTGAGATGAGGACCCGAAAAGACCTTGACAACACACGCATCGATGCTGATGAAAATGCTGTGAGCAGAATCATTTCCACCATTGATTCCATGCTCAACCCTTTTGATGTGTACCAAGACGGCATTGTGTGTCTTAGCTCTGGTAGAGTAGCAACAGCAGAAATCATGAATGATTTGCTTGTTGCCTCAGAAAAGGGGGAAAATGCCGTAAAATAATTTATGTCGAATTCAGTTGACATATTTGCCCCCATAAAATCACAAAAACTCAAGACCTTCAATGATCAGGTTAAGCCAAAAAAAAATCTGCAGCAGGCAAGGAAGTGATTTTGGTTGCTTATTTTCCAGGCTCCTCATCCTTGGTCAGAGCAGAAAAATTGAAATGAGGGAAATTCTGTCTTATTCCTTGAGAAATGTGTCCTATCCATTAGCAAGTGCTGATGGTTTACTTGCCAAAACAAATAAATCAGCGCTCATGGACCTTTTAGAGAAAAAAGGTGGAGACTGCTTGGTTGACCAAGTTCCAGTGGATGGTGCCATTCTTTTTGATGGCATGGCAGTCATGCAGGCCATGCGATCCAGACCAGATACATTTGAAGAGCTTGCAGAGACCATACTGCAGAACACACTCCAACTCGCTTTGCAGCACAAGTGTACACGCATTGACTTTGTCACTGACCAGTATCCACTCATCAGTATCAAAAACATAGAATGGTCACGTAGAGCTGATGCAGGGTCACAACGCATGGAAAAATGCAGACCTTACAGCAGTGGGCAAAAACCTCTGCTTGTACATAGCACATACAAATCAATGTCACTGTGTGACTGTTAAGGAGGGTATACAGTGTGTTTGTGTTGTTGAAGACCTGCAGTGTGATCATGTAGAATGTGACACAAGGGTGTTTTTACATGCACAACATGCTGCACGGGAGCATAAAGCTGTCATCATCAAGAGCTCTGACATGGATGTGGCAGTCATTGCTGTAAGTGTGCAGACAGATTTGCCATGCAGTTTATATGTTTTCACAAGGACTGGCAACAGGACACGTATCATTGACATTACCAAGGTGTCATCAGCTCTCGGAACCAGTGTGTGTTCAGCCTTGATCGGAATTCACACATTCTCTGGGTGTGACTCCACAAGTGCCTTTTATGGCAAAGGAAAAATAAAGACATTTTCTATTGCATGTGAGAAAGGTGAGTACCTAAAGGCTTTTAAAAGTTTAGGTACTAACTTTAACTTGGAGCAGTCAACATTTTCACTTCTTTGCCAGTATGTATGCCACTTATATGATCAGCCAGCTGCCGATAACGTAAATGAAGCTAGGTACAAGGCTTTCTGTATGGCATCATCAGCCTTGCCAGAATTATGCATTCCTCCTACAACTGATGCCCTCCATCAGCACCGCAAAAGGGCAAACTACCAGGCTGCAATTATGAGGTCCTGTCTCAAACAAAACATAAGTGCTCCATCACCTGCTGGATATGGTTGGCAAATAGAGGATGGGACCTTGCACATCACCTGGATGACCAGAAATCCAGCCCCTGACAGTGTTTTGCATGTGATACACTGCGGCTGCAAAGGTGTCTGTGAGACAGGCAGATGTTCCTGTTTTTCTGCAGGATTGTGTTGCACAGACTTATGTCGTTGCTGTAATAGTGCCAACACAAGAGAAACTGAGGAACTGGAAGATAACTGTCCTGACACTGACAGTGAGGACTGAGTGTCCTTAATCTGTTATTTCTTATTTAGTTTTGTACTAGTTATATATCATATTTTTCATAAAGATTGTTTTATAGTTCATCAGTGTTGTTTTCATTTGTGGAAGAATGAATGAACGAACAAATGGTCATTGGTATAAGTACAATTACTCCCTTTTATTGATACAAGGAAGGTTTATTTGTCACATACATAGAAATACTTACGTAAAGCATGTAGTGAAATTTTGTTTGGTGTTAAGCTTTTTCTGTGCGAGTGTGAAGAAAGAAAGATCATAAAATATTAGTCATAAATAGCAAAAGGAAGTATAAAGTGCAGTGTGTGTACAGTCCATGTGCAAGTGTTAAAAAAAGTGTAATTGCTGTTTATATAGTCATTGTGTGTGTTCAGGATACGGAATGCTTGAGGAAAGAAGCTCCTCCTCAGTCTCTCTGTTCTGGTCTTGTAGCAGCAGAGACGTTTGCCTGACCTCAGTGTTTTGAAATGTCCATGGTCAGGATGTTAGGAGTCCTTTACAATACTTTGGGCGCTGGTACGTAGTCTTCTCTTGTAGGTCTCCTGCAGAATAGGGAGAGGTGCTCTGATGGTGTGGCACTGCAGTCACGGGCTGTACAGTTCCCATACCAAGTGATGATGCTGTCAGGACACACAGCTGATGCTCTGAACTTCCTCAGCTGACGTCGGAAGTACAGTCTTTGCCTTGATTTCTTCAGTGTGTGCTGGGCGTTCACAGTCCATGTTAGATCGTCAGTAAGGTGTTTTCCCAGGTATGTCAAACTTGATCTAAATGACTTAACATAAGCATAACATTATCGTATCATTGTTCTTATTGGACGCGGCTATGTATACAGCACTATTTATAATCCATTTAGCCCACTTTTGAGGATGTTCAGGTGTTTTCCTCTTTATCGGTAACGTTGAATCTAACCACGGAAGCCGCCATCTTGCCATTCTGTTGACAAAAAGCAGCTACCTCATTGGTGTAGAACGATCACGTGTTGAAAAGTGCCAGCACTCGCGACCAAGATCCTATTATGCTCTGAAGAAACTAGTTCGGGATAAAACATAGACGCACCAAAAATTGACTCGAAAGTGAACGACAAACTTTTTTTGGTAGCTAAGTACGACTCGTTCTTTTTTATGAGCTAAAGATTGTGTAGATGCGCGACTGTGGAGCGGGATTCATTTTCTAAAGGACTTTTCGTGCTTCACATTGCGGCCTAAATGTACAATCATAAAACGTAAGGCTAACCTGGGTCCCACTTCATAACCGTAACTTTCGAAGCTAACATGGGTGCCACTTGCTAGCTAGCGCTTAGTCTTTGAGAAACGTGTAGACCTTAGTGATGTGTCGTTCGTGAACGATTCGTTCATTTTGAACGAATCCTTACAAGGACTCGAGAGTAACGAGTCCTCTCAAAAAAAAGATTCGTTGATTTTACCGAACGGTCGGTAATATCTTACCCTCCCCCCGTCAACAAATGACCGACATGAACGAATGACTCAAAAAAAGATTCGTTCATTTTACTGAACGATATTAAAAGAACCGAGTCGGTAAAAAGATCCGAACTTCCCATCACTAGTAGACCTTCCCACTAACTTGCAAGGAATTCAATTTAGAATGAAAGCTAGTTACAAACGTAATAAAGTGTACATTACATAAACTGTACTTTCTACATTTGTTTTTGCACTATACTTGAGTTTTTATGTTTCTTTGTCTATTTTATCTGTATGTAATTTCTTTGTGCACGTTATTGCGCACGTAATTACGCACGTATTTGCTGTAAAGCACTTTGAGCTGCATTCTTTTGCATGAAAGGTGCTATATAAATAACGTTTTATTATTATTTGTGCTGTACCATCTTATAGATACTACAATGGACCCGGAAGAGACGCTGCTCGGAGGCTCATCTGGAACCTCCTTACCTAGGTCAACTCCACCACCTTCTACTCCACTGTATGCTACCTCCTCAGTTAGGTCGACTCTAGCTTGCACTCCACCACCTTCAACTACTCCACTGCGTGCTACAATTACCGATGATCTACCTGTTAATTTCTGCAATATTATAACTGCATCAACATATGGGCATCACAAAGAATCTTCATGCCATGCTTTCACTCATCCTGTGTAGTCTAACAAACAGCCGATGTCAAGATGGTTACTACCACATGCCTAATCGGTAGGAATACAACTGACTTTATACCTCCATTTCTTAAAGGAACGAGGACCCAGCAAACAAGGCAAATGAGAGACGTCGATGTGCTGGTAAACCAGATGCAAGTCATGACTCAACAATGGAAGGAGGACATGGACACGGTTGATCGCCAGCATCCTCCGCACTGACAGTATGGTTGAGAAGCTGATGCAGAGAATGGATAACATTCAACCTCAACCAAACACATTGTCACCACCACCACAACATCAACCACCACATGATGCGTATTATGGTTATGGATGCCTTACTTATTTGCACTACCGCCTGAAAAGCACCTTACCGTTCATACAGCACAATTTCTACACTCTACCTCAGTGTGTATATATATATACATACACAATCAGAATTTATATATATAAATATTTGTTTTTTTGTGACATTCAAGGTTTTACCTTTTATACTTGTGTGCTTTTATACCTTGTTTTACTTTTCTTATTTTTTCTTATAAATAAAACACTTAACTAAAACTTCTGTGAGTTTCTTTATTTGTGGAATGAAACACACATGAACTGTACAAGAATTGTATTTACAAACCTATGACAAACTGGCAATTATGTAATGAAGACGTCTAAAGGTATGGTCAGCGCAGGGGGAAGTTTGCACTCAGGTAATCTGTGAGGTCGGCTCTGATCCTCTGTCCATTTGTGTTGTCTGCGTGATTGTTGGCACGACCACCTGGCTGTGGCAGGTTCGATGCAAGTGTAGCCGCTTCCACTGACCGGTTGGGATTCACAACTTCCTTCTCATTCTCACAGAAATTGTGCAATGCACAACAGGTAGCAATCACTTTAGAGGTGAATGTAAAGTGGAAGTCACTACGCTCTCTCCAGCGTGACTTCAGTCTCCCAAACGCAATCTCCACCGTGGTCCTTGCAGAGCTTAAGTAGACATTGAAGGACTCTTGCTCAGGGGTGATGTTTGGGGAATGGGTGTAGCCTTTCATGATCCAGTCCATGAGAGGATACGCTGGTTCTACCAACAGGAAGTGACCGATTGAGACGCCATCGATTTCTCTTGGTTCCTGGGAGGAGAAATAGAAATGGTTACCAGTGTTGGACTTGCTTACTAAATGGCTCAGCATAAATAAAACATAATATACATAAAAACATCCTCTATAAAACATCATACTACTTTAAGCTTGTAACATACCTAGAAATCTCAATAGCTTGGTGGTAGCTCCACTAGTTTCTGCATGAATAACTTTCAGTAGCTTCACTCATTTATCTTATTGATTTTATCCATACATTAATATGTCTTCAGAGTACGACTTACTTTTGGTAACAGGTGTGCCTGGCTGAGCACGTTAGCGCCATGAGCACACCCAGGCATCTTACAGCTGATGCTCCAGAAGCTTAAAGAGAACAATTTGTCAGGTTTTAATGGCACACACGACACACTGTAACACACACGTGAATATATGTAGGCGACACAGGACACACACACAAACACGCACACGCAGGCCTGAGGTCGCGGTGAATTGAACATATCAGTAAGCATTCACGTTGCACAGTGCAGACAACTAAATGTATTTGGACCAAACTTACCAATACATGTCGTCCACTACGCCTTGGAGGACAGCGGTATTGGTGCTCGAACAGTCACCTCCGCGGGCTTCATGACTCCTTTCATAATTCCACACAACTTGTGGAAAGATCCTCGAGTCATGCGAAAGTTCGGTTTCCAGTCCTCGTCATCAAATACGGTTAAAACATCTCTCTCCCAGAAGACTTTGTTTCTGCTCTTCATCCAGAGTGCTCTTCGAGACCTTTGCGGTACAATGGCAGAGTTCAACAATATATTGTTGGTCAGAATTAAATTCTCCATGTACCTTCGGCGACGGCGTCTTCTCTCCGTTATCAAATCAGCCAATAGCGCCATTCGCATTGGCTGTACTTTTACTCCTATTAACGTCATGCAAAAATAGTAGAGGGATGTAGCTTCACCTTGCTCTCCGTTCGCCATCTTTCTCGTAATGTTGTTGTTGGTAGTGGTGAAGAGGTCAAGCGGAAATGGCTGTATCACAACTAGTTGTAATGAAAACAGCGCCACCTATCGTATCGGATTTTACATGCTTTCGGCCAATGATTCGATTTATTCACTGCCATGTATATTGGGATAATAGCACCGCCCCCCGGAAGATAACATAGTCCGACTAAGCAAAGATTCCAATTATACCATCATGTAAACACACTGACTGTGTGTCCGTGCGTCTCTCTGAAAACGCAGAAGCATAAACAAGGGCTTTTCGTCCCGCTAGCCTCCCTTCTTCACTGCATTGCCCACATTCCCCCTTTTTTACCCACACGACCTTGTTTTCAAGATGGATGCCAAAAAACCTCCACACACATCCCTGTTCATATTGCAGGAAAATAAGTCTAAACAGCTGGTGTTGTGGCTTGTTTGAATGCCGTCTTGATTGGAAGCCTGCGCATTTAGTTCCTAACAACGACACTGCGTATTTGTAGGTGAAAAACCCAGAGACAATACGAAAACCCACGCGGAATTGTGTCAGCCTGGGGCTCGGGAAGCTGAATAACAGCAAAGCAGGCTCCACTAAAACGAATCGGAACTGCGAACAGCTCGACCAATCAGTGTGTCTGGATTGCGAGGAGGCGAGCGCATTCGCGCGAATGATTCTGTTGGCATACATGTTCCCGGCCGTGTGAAGCGTTTCCTGCACTGTGGCCGGACAGGAGGAATTGTTGGGAACTTTTCGGAGGTTAGTGTATAAATTGTTTTTTACCCAGTATGCCTTATTCCCACAGCCATCTCTGAGACAGAGACGGCGTGACAGGCTGCGAACGGGAATTAAACGACGGATAGGAAATACTGTTTAAACGTGAATTATAAAATGACACCCTGCGAGCCAAAATGCTTAAGTTGTCATTAATTAGCTCGACGTTGTTTCCTAGTTACAATAGCTCGGCTGTGAGCTGAACGGAGAAAGCTAGCTAGCAACTCCGGCTGCCACAGATCGGACCAAGTCTACAGATAGAGTCCCAAATTGATGTATTCTCATATTCATAGTGATTATCCGCAAGAAACAGTTTGCCTGTACGCCGCTAAAAAAAGAAAGTCGTGACACCACCAAGTCGGTTAGCGTAGTTAGCAACGCAGGTAGCATGGTGGCTAACCGCTGCGTTAACGTTACATGACATTATTACGTTTCAGCTTGATAGATCGTTAACAAAAATTGGAAGCCCGGTTGGGAAGGTTTCAGCCAAACGACATTCTGGTAGATTTATTTGTCAGATCACAGGTCAAGTATAAGCGCTGCGTTTGCAAAGGCAGGAGCAGTTCTGTCGGCCCACAGGCCAGAAGAACAACTCACTAACATCAGGAAGAACATTACGTTTTGTATTTTTTGTTAGATAAAAAATAACAAAATTTATATTGGCCCTAAACTGGCGTCGAGGAGGAGCAGGTCCTCTCGCCACAACACAAGATCCAATCACATGCAATGTGTGGTCTTCTAACATATGTGAATATAACCAACAAAACGTGAGTGTTGTATGGTGCTTGGTGTGTCTCTAAATCTCATCCTTATCAGACCTGTGTCTGCCTGCTTGACACTTTTCCTCTGGCCTTACACACCTCAAGACAGTGACTCCCTAAATGAGCACTGGGAAAACGTTTTTTATTATCAGGCTGCGCATTCAAACATGCCGTCAGTCGATTGTGCTAAACCGGGCAGCCTGATACGACAGTGTGTCTAACATGTAATCATGTTTTATTACAGAGGGACACAAGTAGCAAGTCATAGGGGTGCTAACCACCTCCAGATGCTGTGTTCAAAATATCAAGCGCCAAAAACAGCTGAGATCCAGTAAGAGCCCCTCGGGTGGGGGGTTCTCATTAGCATAGAAAACACACGAAATATATTATATGTCATATTATTATGTCTTAGTGGTGTATATAGTAAGTAGTATAATGCCTCACAGTCCTGTGCTATACAGTTACACTTACTTCAATAATACACATTGACAATATGCGTCTGGTTGAAATGTATTCATTATACATTCGATATATATTGTTAACCCTTACCGTTTCAAAACTACAGTAACACTTTCCTTCATTAACCTGTCCATTTTTTAGATTTGAGTTACCCACTATAAACACATTATTACTGCTCTATTGCCATTTTTACTATTTAACCCTAGGTTTATGCATCTGCGTTTTCAGAGCAACGCAAGGACACGCAGACGCAAGACTATGACTGCAAATTCAAGAGCGCAAATCAGGTTGATGCGCGCGCGTAAATCAAACATCCGCGAGCAAATCTTTGTCTCGAGCGAGCAAAAGTTCATCAGATGGTAAATTATGGTTGTAGCTAGTTGTCATCTACGGTCCACTACGATTACCGAAGGGGAGCGTTTGTGTTTTGACAACGTTTTATCTCATAATTTTGACTTTCTATCCCCTTTCTGTAGTGCGGAAATGGGCTTCTATAGTTGTGTGAATGCATCACTCCAGCCAATCCAAAGACAGGGTTTGTAACAAATTAGATGTAGATACCATGGTGACTGGCTCCGCCCCCTTACTGTCAGAAAGAAAAACAGCGAGCGCGTAGAAAACACCTACGAGCGCGAGCAGAGACTAACCTCGCGAGCAACGAAGTTCACTTTCCGCGAGCAAGCAAACACAGAGATTTGCTTGCGGATGTTTGATTTATGCGCGCGCATCAACCTGATTTGCGCTCTCAAATTTTGCTAACTACGTCCCTTACAGAGTCTCACATTTCCGTTTTCATAGCAATACCGCTATTATTAAAACGAAGAATGTTTACGAGAGAACGGATCAGATTGAAGATCTTTTGTCTGAAGCATGCGTGAATATGACCGCTTATACAACCCGTCATTGGCGGACTATAAGGACACGCGGATGGCCTCTGATTCATGGAGGGAGATCTCCACAAATGTCGGTTTGACGGTCGAGGGGAACAAAGTTGTGGAGGAAAATATGGGACAAATGGGTCCGTAATGAAAAGCAACAGTGGCGATGCACGGGGCAATAAAGTCTATGATAAATAAATAAACCAACCAACGACTTCCACACACAAAGACGTGACCTTCTAGGTCGTCTTTAACAAAACATGTTACTCCACCTGTTGTTCTGGAGGTGAATTGCTCTGCAACACACGCAAGACTTTTAGAACCATGAATTGAAACGAGTGCGTCGATGCAGACGCAGAAGCATGCGCCAGCCTTTACACTTCAAGATGCAAAACCTTTGTGTCCAATGCTATTTATTTTTCTGTTCCAATGCACATCGATCCACATCAATGTAACAGCACAAGGGTTCGTTGTGCAATTTTATAAATGTTGTTCCATATGAATATTAAAAACAGACACAACACATACGATTTTGACATGGAGGATAAAAGGGTTACATTTAGTTTAACAATGTTAAACTGGCACAGGCGGTTAAAACATGACAAATTACAATTAACATGACATAACACAGAACAATGGTAAATGGTAAAATAAACAAAAAAAGATAGCAGTTTAATGGCAGGTCTGGGTTTTGAAAAAAAACTAAGATTAAGAACTACAAAATGCATTTCCTGCTGAAAATGCATTGGAATGCTTAAAGCTAAAAGCTGAAATGAATTTAAAAAAATAGGTCAAAATACAGAAAGCTGAATGGAATTGCAATACATTTTTTGAAATTACAGATAACCGAAAAGCTTAAATCAATTTGAAAGAATTGCTGAAAATACAGAAATGGGAGAAGCTGAAACAAATTGAAAAAAATACAGAGATGAATATTAAAACATTGCTGTTAATAAGAAAAGCTGAAATTATCTTAAAGAACTGCTAAAAATACAGAAATAGGAGAAGCTGAATTTCAATAGATTTTCTGAAAATACAGAAGTTGCAGGAGCACAAATAAATATATAAAAAATACAGAAATAACAAAAGCTAAGATGAATAAGAATGGTTTTAAGTTGTTTGTAGTAATATTAGTAGTAGTATTAGTTATAGTTGTAATTGTGATACTAGTAGTACTAGCAGTGGAAGTAGTAATAATAGGTTTAGTATCAATAGCAGTAGAAACACTAGAAATAGTAGTAGTGTTAGTATTAGATAGATAGATACTTTATTGATTGAAAAATTGATTGAATTTTGGTATCACAGCAGCATGTACAGGGAAGAAAATAGAATAAAAAGATACACATTATGTACAATATAATAAGAGAAATACTAAATTAAATAAACTGAAACAAAATAATAACCTTCCAAAAGAGACAATAATGATAATTTGTAAAAGGAGAAGAGGAAGAGGAAAGAGAAGCAACATAACAGCAGTACAGGGTTATTATTGTCATTATTTAGCCTGGGATGATTTATTGTAGAGTGTTATTGCACTGAGCAGGAATGATCTCCTGTATCGGTCCTTGTGACAGCGGAGCTGAAGGAGTCTGTTGGAGAACGTGCTCCGCTGTCCCTGTAGCAGGTGGTGGAGGGGGTGGTCAGGATTATCCAATATGGATAACAGTTTCTTCAGTGACCTCCCCTCCCCAACACCTTTTCCAAGCTGTCCTGTTTGCAGCCAATGATGGAGCCGGCCTTCTTAACAAGTTTGTTAAGTCTGTTGGTGTCACCGGCTCCAATGCTGCTCCCCCAGCAGACCACGGCGAAGTACAAAGCACTGGCCACAACAGACTGATAGAACATCTCCAACATCATGCTGCACACATGGAAGGATCGAAGCTTCCTCAGGAAAAAGAGTCGACTCATCCCCTTCCTGTAGACGGCGTTGATGTTGGTCTTCCAGTTCAGTCTGTTGTCGATGGAGACACCCAGGTACTTGTAGTCCTCGACCATGGCCACCTCCTCTCCCAGAACCCTCAGCGGTAGCGGAGCTGTCGTCTTCCTCCCGAAGTCGACCACCATCTCTCTGGTCTTGGCCACGTTCAGGAGCAGGTGATTTCTGCCCGCCCACACCACAAAGTCCTCCACTACTGCCCTGTACTCCTCCTCACA